CAGCCACCGCGACAGCGGCGGCAGCCCCGGCTGCCTGGCAGCTAGCACCTCTGGCTCTGAGGCTGGGCTGGGTTCTAACAACATCTTCTCTTTTCTAATAATACTGTGTCATAGCCAGCAGAGTGCACACGCTGCACCCTTAGTTTTATAATTACTGTCTCTCTCTCTACAGGGATTTTGAGTGGTTTCTAGTTTCTACCTCAATGCATCAGATAAATTTTTACATACAGAAAAAAATCCCCCACAGCCTTCTCTCTCTTCATGTTCCTAGTATTACTGTGGCGTTTGGGAACAACTCACATCAAAGCTCTGGAAGCATTAAAATATACCCAGGCCCTATCTATTGCTTGTAGCTAAATAGGCAACTTCAGAACTCCCTCTGGTATAGGCATTTGGCCCTTGGAGTGGGAACAGGGAGCTGCAGAGTCTGTTTCTAGCTCTGCTGGTGGGAACTGGAGGTGGGGCTCACAGCAATGCAGCACTTTCTAGGGCAGCAGTTCTTGCAGTCTGCCAAGAGGATGCCTTCCCCAGTGGGACCTCACCTTTCTGTGGCTTCCTTAGGCTCTGTTATAACAGCAGCAGGGATCTGAGTCCTGTTCAGAGTGCCCAGGTGTCTCTGGTCCCATGGGACCGAAGGGATGGCAACATTTGGTCTGCCCTTTGCTCTGAAAGGCTTTGGTATTCCCAGCATGTGTTCTCCAGTCCTGCTGTTTGCTTTTTTACCTAGAGCCTGAAGAAGAGCTTTACTGAAGAGCAATGGCAGAGGAGAAGGAAATCTGATGTGTTACCAGAGCGTATAATTGTGCAAATACTGCTATTGTTTGTGGGCTTCTTCTACAGTTCTTCACTTTCTAATTCCTGTCTAAGAGAGAGTCTCCTGGGACTGTGCTCGCTGTGTTAATGGATCCAGGAATGCAGGGGGGTTGTTTTTCAGCTGCTGTAGGTGTGCACAGAACTCCAATGTTAACATGGATCCTGTGGCACTGGGAACATTCAGGCAGACCCATGGCTGCTGGAAGGAAGCACAGAGGATGGAGTTAAAACTGTATTAAAATACTTCTCCAAAATATGATGCATAAGTGATGCTTAACTGATGCCTCTGTTTCACCACTTAGCTGTTCAACCTTCAAAGCCCTGGTGGATTACAGGGTCCAGCAGCAGCACACGTGGCAGAGTTCTCAGCAGGACAGAGTAACCCCCAGTTGGAGTGAGATTTTTCAACAGGCTCAGGTTCCAGCTGGGGCTGGTTCAAGCTGGGTACTCAGTGTCTGGCTGTCAGGACAATGTGCTCTCCTTTCTGAGTCCTGCTGCTGGTTTTAATGTGCACCCAGACTCTGCCTGGTCCCTAAAGCCCCGGGGAGCTGGGTGGTTGTGGGGTGGGGGGACGACTTGCTGTCACCCCTGGAGGAACAGAGAACCTTTGAACAAGGGAGAATGCAAAACCACAACTGTGCAAATGCTGAGCAAAGGGGTTTTGGTTTGCCACCGACAGTGGCTTCCTCACAGGGACTCAATCATTCTAATTAAATGCCTTCCCTACAGGGAATCTTACCCATTAAATTGGCACGCTGTTGTTAGGGGGCCAGTTAATTACATTTAACTCTATCTTCAAATTAGCCAAACTACTCTGTCAAGAAAAGAAAAAGAAAAGGGAGATGATGGATATTGTAGGGAGAACAAAACCCAAGGGAGCTGGCAAAGGCAAATCATCCATTGAGCCAAAGTTGTATTTGTCTGCTGGCTGCTTTGCTCCTTTCCTGCTGGGAAAGAAATCAAGATTATACAGTGATTTTAAAATCCATGTCTTTAGTAGCATATAAAAATGAGCAGGAGAGAACTGTGAATCAAAGGCTAAAGTACTGTGTCAATCTGTGATTTCAGGCAAGAGGCCTTTTGAGCACCAGGCACTTTTCTTTTTAGCATGAAGCTGTATTTCTTGTGCCTTCCATGTCCTACCTCCAGCAGCCCCAGGAATCTGGCTGGTTTATTTGTTTGGCAAGAGCCAAAGCTTTTTTCTCCTTTGTGTGGAACAGTGATATTGAACCCAAAGAAGTCCTGGTCACGGAGTGAAGCTTCCAGGAATGTCCCTAGAGAATAAAGCACTGGTATAAGACAGCTCCAATATGCTGGAACAGTGAATTAGCTGTGGAGAACACCAAGTTAGTCATGTTCATGGTGGAAATCCAGTGCTGGCTTCCAGCACAGTCATTCCCTCCCAGCTTCTAAAGCCTGGTTCAGAGCCCATTGGAAGCCCCTGGGAGGTGTTTACATTGATTTTAGCTCAAGCTTGTGGTGTGGTTTTTGTTTTTAGCCTATCATAAGTGTTCAGTGATGATTCTCTTTGGAGGAATAGAAGAGCCTGGCTCCACTTCAACACCTCAGACTCGCTGCTCAGGGTGAGGAGCATCTGGTGTCCCCCTGGTTCCCCAGAGCAGTGCCTTGATTTGGGGTCTGTTAAGTCTTGCCTTGTTTGTGCCTGCTGTGTAATCAGTGCACAGTTGAGTGGGATTTCATGTGAATTTAATTCCCTCTTGGACTAAACCTGAAATCCTTAAAAAGTAATGGGGAGGAACAGAGGAAACTTAGAAGAGAGTAATTTGCTCCACTGAAACTTCAGATATTTCCCAAATGTGAGGCAGGTGACACTGAAAAACTCTTGCTCTTCTTACAAATGTGAAATAGAAGCAAGTGCTATTCCTCAGCCTTATAACAAGCTGTTCTTTCAAGCATTTTTACTCCATGGAGAAAACTTTCCCTAGGTAAGGCAGCACAGCAACCACAGACAAATGCACGTTTAGCTGATCATTGAAAAATTAAGAAATAAATTAAGTATTTAAATGATCAGCAAATAACAGCTTCCTGGACCTACAGTCGTGGTGAGAAATCATGGAATCAGACAGCTCTCCCCTCACCTTTTTTTCTCCTTTATTATCTCAGCCTCCTGGATGCTGTAGTCTGTGCTTCCAGGGTGTGGGGTTGTCAGTCATTACACTTGCGGGTTGCTAGCTGAAGCAGAAGCATCACACAGAACCCCAGCATGGTGGGGGCTGGAAGGGACCTCTCATCCAACCCCAGAGGTTTTCTAAAGGCACAGGAAGCTGTAGACAACAATTTCAGAAGAACTCTAGAATCTGAACTTCTCCACAAACTGAGTTGTGATTGTCACAGTGTGGCTTGCTTGGGGTGTTAAAAATCAGGAGCTTATTTCAGTGGGTAGCTGGAAGTTGAGATCTTCTAAAGAGCTGAGGCCAGATGTGTATTCTGACTCTTCTGTTGTTTGGTTTTTTTTTTAAATCTGGCTCTAGCTAGCAATGCTGAATTACCTTTTAAAAAGGAAACAAGTGAGAGGGAAAGCAAAGGACTGGGAATTTTCAACATTTAATTAGAACATGCCCAGAATGGCCTGAGAAAAGGTCCCTCATGGAGAGAATTCAAGCTTCAAAGAACATTCCCAGGTACTGAGGAGAGGAATCTTGCATTGACAGGGAGGTGGTGTACAGGAAGTAATGAAACTCTTCAAGATCCAGGGCCTGTTTAGATCCTCTGAAACTCCCTGTACAGCTGGAAAGCTTTTCTTATTGCTCTAGCCAAGAGCAATTTTGCGTGAGGACTTGGGTAAGGAATTTTGGGAGGAAGGTGGAGCTGAGAAGGTCAGCACCTGAGAGCTAGGCTAGGCCATCAAAGATGTGATGTGTGTGCAAAGACAAAACAGAGAAAACTGAACCCCCTGCTTATATCACTTGAAAAAATGGGCATTTAGTGACTACTTTGCAGCATCTGACCTCTGGCCCATCTAAATGTATTTGCCTTCTGGCTTATGAATGGCATCTGCTTTTTCCAGTGGAGACTACTTGAATTTTTGGCTTTCTCTTCATTCTCTAAAGCCTGGCTTGCTGAGCATGAAGCTTGCTACACCTTCCCTGCTTTCCCTTGGATGCTGTTACAATCTGGGTGTTGTTCTCACATGTAATTGTCCAGGCCATGCTTTCAGCCTGGTTCTTCCCCACAGCATTGTCTGGGGGATGCACCTTCCCCAGGTTAGTTTGGGGAGATGTGTGCGTGTGAAAATGCTTCTTTTTACTGAGTTTTAAATTGGCCTTTCTAGCATAGGGCTGACTTGGGACCACCATCTGCTGGAATAAAGTGGCCATAGCACTGAAAAGAAAATGTATCCCATAATGTCATGTTTTCCCCCTATGCTACAACCCACTGATTGGCTTCTGTAAAGGGAGGAGTCTCCCCCGGTTGACACCCCAGTTCTCACACCAGCAGCACAGGGTTGTTGGTGTGTGCTCTGTGTCCCTCTGGTGCTTGGGCTCCCATCTGGAGCCCTTCTGCCTGTGGGGTAGGTGGAGCTGGGTGACACATTTTGCCACGTGCACTTTGGAGAGGAGAATTTTGAGGGGAAATTTCTCCCCGTTGCCGAGATAAGCCCCTTGCTGTTCAGGAAATCAGTCCCGGGGTCTGGGCTGCACACCCCGGTTTGAGCCCTGGGGGGGTGTTTTTCCCTTATCTAATCTGGCTTTGTGAGTCAGATGGAAGCAAGTGATGAACTGTGTGTTGCAGGTTGAACGACTCAGCCCTGGAGAACCACCACCACTTGGAGAACGATGCGTTCTCCGACAAGTCCGAGAGGGACAACGTGGAAGAGTCGGAGAACGAGACCCAGGAGAACAGCAGGAAGACAAATGAAAGTGAGAGCGACCAGTCAGAAATCCACGGGGAGGCCTCCCCAGGGGGGAAGGGGACGACTTACATCGAGCAGGTCTATGAAGAATTTGGGGAGGTAAAAGAAGAAGAATGACTTTAACCGCTGCCTGTTTCTGTTCACAGTAGTTGTCGTGCAGCCTTTCAGATGGGTGGCAGTTAAGAGCCAGGGGAGTTGTTACCCTGGGTGGGTGTCCTGCCCAATTAGGATGCTCAGCCCTGGTGGGATACAGAATATAATACTTTCCTTTTCTCATTATGCATGAAACATCCTTTTTGTGTGTCCTAGTGGAGCATTTGAGCCACTTGATTCCTAAATGACAGATTCTTGTCAGAACGCCATTTCTCGTGCCATTTGCAGCAGGAGGATGTGTTTCTGTTCCACGTGAGAGGCTCTGTTAGCTGGTTGTTGCTGTGACACATCTGCAGAAGGCAGTGGTGGAGAGCAGGGGGAGCTGAGTGTGTTAGGTGAGAATGAGTCTGGGCAGGCAGTGGAGGAGCTCTGCCCCAGCACAGGGAGGACTCTGAGCACTCCCTCACCCACTGCCCCAAACAGGGAGGCTGAGCTCTTGGTGAAAACCACCCCATGAGAAAGCTGTTTTCTTTCTCAGAGTCATAAAATCATTTAGATTGGAAAAGACCTTTAAGATCATGCAGTCCAACCCTTCCCCCAGCACTGCCAGGTCCCCACTGCCCCGTGTCCCTCACACCACATCTCCACGGCTTGGAAACCCCTCCAGGGGTGGGGACTCCACCACTGCCCTGGGCAGCCTGGCACAGCCCTGGGCAACCCTCAAGGGGAAGAAATTGTTGCTAAAATTACCCGAAATTTCCTAAACCTTCCCTGGTGCAACTTGAGGCCATTTCCTCTTGTCCTGTCCCTTGTTCCTTGGGAGCAGAGCCTGACCCCCCCCTGGCTCCAGGCTCCTGTCAGGAGCTGTGCAGAGCCAGAAGGTCTCCCCTGAGCCTCCTTTGCTCCAGGCTCAGCACCCCCAGCTCCCTCAGCTGCTCCTCACAAGACTTGTGCTCCAGACCAGCCTCTTCTGTTCCTCTTTCAATGTTTTCCTAAAAACAGAGTTAAATGTATCCTAACTGCACTTTGGATTTCACTGGGTGATGACTTAGAGCACTGGGAATGGGCAGGTGTCCCACAGGCATGTTAGGTTGCTGCTCTTTGTTTCTCCACAGGCTGCTTGCAGCAGGAGGACCTATGTGAGAGACCATGAAGGAGCATCTCTGCCATACCACCTTGCAGAGGAGCAGGGGTTCAGTTTTTCCTGCTCCTTTCCACAGCCCAGCCACCCCCACGAGCAGCAGTTTGTGGTCTGGAGCCACCCATCCAGGGAGCATATTTGCTGCCATTTGAGGTGCTGGGTGTGAGGTGCAAGCCCTTGCTGTAGAAACTGTGCTTGAAACAGAGCTGTTGCCTACAGAGACAAAAAAAAACCCCAACCAAATCTCCTCTTTTGTGCATCTCTCCCCTCAAATCCCACCCCAGACACAGAGCAAAAGGGAACTGGGTCCAAACAGGAGATTTTGTGTAGAGCTGATCAGCAGGCAGAGGTAACATCCCGTGGGCTTTCAAAGAGAACTGCCCGTAGCCTTGGCCATTAGGAGGCTTTCATTCCATTGCTGCTCTTGGCCAAGAGATGGGGCTGTTGTCAGCTGGGACACAGGCAGGACTCTGGTGGCAGTAGCAGGAGTCGAGCAGGTCCTGTGCAGGGAGGTGGTTTGCAGTCAGCAGTGGCTGGAGATGTGTCAAGGTGAACACACGGCAAGTGACAACATGAGGGGTCGCCTTGAGCTGAAAGTGCTGCCCCTCCATCTGTGGGTGGCAGCACAAAGGTCCCAGCTGCCAGCTGGCACTGTTCAAGCTTCAGCTTGGCTTTGAAGGCCCCTCTGAAGGGTGTGCACCTCCATGTGTCTGCAAGGTGTGTGCTGCTGGGGCTGCTTTCCAGCCTTGCCTTGTTTGCAGTAGGGATGTGAAGGCAGAGACAGGTCCCAGAAGGGCTTTCAGGTTGCAAAAGTTGGCCTAGAATATAAAAAGACACCTCAGTAGGTAGATGGATAACCAAAAATCCCTCTTTTTTTTTTCCCCCCAAACTTTTAGTTTTAAAAAGTTATAAAAAGGGTATTGAGGGTGATATATTTTAGGGGAAAGCAACTCAGAAATGACTTGAAGCTGTTCTCCCCCTCCTGCACCTTCTTCTCCTTCCCTTTTCACCCATCCTTTCTGCAGTGGTCCATTCAGAGGAACACTTTCATACAGCAGTTTCAACATGGCATTAATTTATGTTGCCAATACACACAGGCTTGAACCTGGCTAGGTGCTGGAAGTTCTGCCAGAGCCATGTGTGTTGTAAGCCCAAGGTGACGCCGTGGTTACGTTCCTTCATGGTTTCTGTTTCTTCTGGGAGGTTCAAGCTGTGTGTTGCATCAGACTGTCACAAGAAGAGTGGTATGCTAATGGAAAGCACTGAAATGAAAAGAGCTTTGTTGTTCCTCAGTCTGAAATTCCTCTTGGCCTGCAGGCTGGACTTGCTGTATTTCTGCATGACTCCTAGAAGGGCTGACAAGGAGCCAAAAAGGTGGTGCTGGAAAAGCTGAGGTAGTGAAAACGGGTGTTTAGTGTTGTACACCACCTCCAGATCCTGCTGGGATATGCTGTGTGTCCTCTCCCAAGCCAGAGTCCATTCCAGAAGTGGATCTGTGCCCTTCTTTCTTAGAGAAATCTCTTTTCTAAAGAAGATTTTCTAAAGGCCTAAAACCAGTAGAAGGCCAAAGTATTCTCTTGCATTTGCAGTCACTCTGTGGAAGGGAAACAGGCTGCCCAGGGCAGGGGTGGAGTCCCCATCCATGGAGGGGTTTCCAGGCCATGGAGATGTGGTGCAGAGGGACATGGGTCAGTGGGGACCTGGCAGTGCTGGGGGATGGTTGGACTTGATCTTAAAGGTCTCTTCCAACACATATGATTCTATGATTCGATAAATTCTGATGCCTGGGATGCATTAAACTGACATTCATGTTTGAAGATTTGGTCTCATTTTCTTTCTCCAGCAGCTTGAAAGGCCCATTCCCCCAGGTTAAACCTCAGGTAGCCCCACTGAGTACAAAGGAACAGTTTTAGCAGAAACCACAGTGAGATCCCTAAGGCTTTTTGACCCTTTCCTGCCCTCCTGCTGCAGAGGGCACGGAGCAGCCTTGGGGGTGCTGTAGCTTCTGTGCACATCTCCTGGCAGTGGGGCCTTTACCCTGCTCACACTGTCAGTTTGGCTTATTTTGAACTTGGAGGACTGCTCCCATTCTCTGCTGGTTCCTGTTGCCCTGAGACAGAGCTGGTGGCTCTTCGCAGTGGTGCAGCTGAGTGCTCTCTCACCTTTGTGCCAGGGCCACCTGTGCCCGGGGCAGCTTGGACCCACAAAAAATGGTCTTGCTCTTTCTGCTCTAAACTCCCCTTTCTCCCACCGTAGACGGGAGAATCGTCTCAAACAGAAACTGTCTCTGAGGAGAACAAGAGCCTGATGTGGATCCTGCTGAAGCAGCTGCGGCCGGGCATGGACCTGTCGCGGGTGGTGCTGCCCACCTTCATCCTGGAGCCACGCTCCTTCCTGAACAAACTCTCAGATTACTACTACCACGCCGACCTGCTCTCCCAGTAAGCAGCACGTGGGGCGTGCCAACGTGGGCACTTGTGGGAACGTGTTGTGGTGGCAGCTGGGTGCTGGCTGGGCTGTGTCTGTTCCCTTGGAAGGGTCCCAAATAATGGTGGTTGGATCTGGTGTAAATCCAGCCAGGCACCGGCAGCAGTGCCCTTTGAAAGGTGGACTGCAGCCAGCGAGGGAAAGACCTTTGCCCACGGGCACGTTTGGAGGAGGGTTCAGCTCTGCCTTTGAGCATCTCGCAGCAGAGCTGTGCCACCTTCTGGTGTGCTCGTGTACAGAGAGGAGTGGGACAGAGAGCAAACAGGGCTGGCGAGCACTTCTGCCCCCAAAAGTGACAGAATTGTGTTGGGTGATGAGGAAATGAGAAACATCTTTTACCACCATTGACAGAGAGACCTGCTGGGAGCAGCAGAGTAGACAATACCAAGTGCTACGCCAGCAGATAGGACCAGCCTGCTGAGTGAGGTAGCCCTGGTGTATTTAGAACCCCTGTGTGCAGTGTGCAAATAGCAGCAGTAGTTACTCATGCCTCTGGGTGATTCATAATCGTGGTGTTGTCAAGCCTTCTTTGTGGTATTTTTAACATCTGGAGTTAAGGGAAGGGTTGTCCACAGCGCTGAGATCCAAGAAAGCTTCAAGAGGTTTGGAGGTTTTGTTAAATAAACCTCTCTGTGGTACGGATAATCCTTTAAAATGGATTTTGCAAGAATTTATCCAGATTGAGTTTAAAATGTGACCAAAGGATTGTAAGTGCCAGGAATTCTATTATTTATGTTTAGTTCTACTTCATCGTTGGGCAGGGAGGGGTTGGACAAGATGATCTTTAGAAGTCCCTTCCAGCCTAAATTATTGTATGAAATCTCAAAGGACTGAAAGAGGCCGTAATTCTCTGGGATTTTGGTGGTGTGTGGCTGGTTTTACAACTCACACTGTACTGTTAGCTGTAACTAAATGCTGGTGTGAGTGGCAGTCTCACAGTAACATACTCGAGTGTCCAGTTAGAGCTGATACACTCCAGAAACTTCATCAGGCTTCATGCAGGAGTGTGGGGCAAGGGGCTGTCACTTTTTAAGAGTTTTTGTGTGTGTTGAATGATGTATGTTACTAAAAAAAAAAACATTTCTGCTGGCAGACACCTTTTTCATTGGCAGCAGCTCAAAAGTTACTTCCCTTTAGTCCTGGGGAAATACCATGGAAGCTGATGTGGTGTGTGAACAGTACAAAGAGCATTTTCTGTTCTCTGCTGCAGGGCTGTCCTTGAAGATGATCCATACAGCCGAATGAAGCAAGTTTTGAGGTGGTATCTGTCCGGCTTCTATAAGAAGCCAAAGGTAAAAGAATGCATGAAGTTGGGGTTGTAACAGGCACTGAAATCTTCTGCTGTGGCTCTGCATTTTCTTTATTGCCTTTCCTTTGACACTCTGCCTCTTCTGTTCTTCAGAAGACTTTGACCGTTACTTTTAAAACTGAACTTGCATTTGGTTTCAGAGTAGATACTGGGTGTGAAATAGTGTTGATCAACCTCAGAGCCTTTCCACTGGGAAATCAGAAGGCAAAAGTAGTTATCAAAAAGTAACTTGGATGAAAGATTGTGCCCTTTGCTGAAGGCAGGTCTCCTTTCTCTTCATAGGCCTGTTAGGTCCATAGTGATTCCATGTCAGTATGCACCAGCTGTGTCTAACCACAGAAATAATAAAGTTTGATCATCTCATAAAGCTTTGATCAGGCAGAATCGAAGTTTGGGTGGGTGAGAATAGCAGATGAATTCATGGCTCAGATTAAAAGATAAAATTAGGAAGATATATGTAACCAGTTCCTCATTTTTGGTTCTTGTGGTTGACTTAGTTTAAAATATCAGGGAGAAATTTACTATGTTATTTTGTGGCCATCTCTGTGGAGCTGGATTGCAAACGTTCATTTGTAGCAGGTTTGGATTGCTTTGTGTTTCAGGGAATAAAGAAGCCATACAACCCTATTCTGGGAGAGACCTTTCGCTGCTGTTGGTTCCACCCTCAGACAAACAGTCACACCTTTTACATAGCTGAGCAGGTAAGCAGTGTTTGGGGATGCTCAGGGGCTGCAGCAGGTGCTCCTCTGAGCACAGGAACACATTCCTCATCTCACCCTGAGAGAGGAGCTCAGAGTTTGGTGTGAGCATCCAGAGTGGAGCATGGAGTAAAGCAGCTGCTGATCTTTTCTCTTCTTAGATCTCCATGCACTGTGTGAGCTTTGGTGGGCACTCCAGGCTATAAGAATATCATGTATAACATCAGCCTCTTCAATAAGACCTTTTCCCTGGGGTTCTGCCCTGCTGTTTTCTTATTGTTAATTAAATGTGGTGTATTGTTGCCTCTGTCAGAAGGGACAGAAACCACATCTGAACTTCCTTTTTTCTAAGCTTCCTGTTATGATTTCAGTAGGAGTAAATTGAGGGCTTGTCTCTATGTCTTTGTGGATGAAGGGCAGAGCTCACAAGCAGACTGGCCTGATAAAATCTAGGTTGAGATTTATAGTGTTAATAAGTTGGTCTGAGGACCATGTGGACTTTGGTACAGTACACATTTTTTTTTTCCACATTTTTTTTTCCTATTTAATCGGAGAATTTTTATTTTGGTTCATTTTATTTCAGCCACTGCATCCATTTTATGGAAGTCCTTCAGGTGCTGCCAAAACATTCTGCACTGTGATTTATTGTGCTGAAAATCTGACCGTGTACCTGTTGGCTGAAAGTGGTGTCAAATGCTGTAGATGACCTGTGCCTGTTTTTCTTCCAGGTCTCCCATCATCCGCCAGTGTCAGCTTTTCATGTCAGCAATAGGAAGGATGGATTCTGCATTACTGGCAGCATTCTAGCTAGGTCCAAGTTTTATGGTGAGGCATTAAGCTTAGACATCTTCCAGATGATGTCATGGCTTTGGGTTGGGTTTGGCTTTCAATCACTCCTGTGGGTGTTGACAGTTAAGAGTAAAGGAATGCTTAAGAGAGCTGCCACCAGGACAGCCTGGTGCCTTCCCTTGGCTCTCCTGGGTTTTCCCCATTTCCACCATTTCAGTGGGAGATCACATTGATGTTTAAAAAATGCAAAAATCTGACAAATGGAGAACTTTAAAACCCTGCTTTTCAGAAAGCAAAGGTTCCTGAGAATATATGAGCAATTGGTTGTCTGAATAATTTGCATATGCTCACGGGTGAGTCATTTTGTGGCAATCTGATCATCCCACTGCCTTTTCCAAGAGTCCCTGTCTAAATGTAACCATTTATCTAGCTCCCAGATTTCTGAGAGTTGAACTCCAGAGCTTCAAAATGTCCTCAAATCTTTGAATCATGGAGACAGCACAGCTGCAGGCTCTGAAACCAACAGTGTCACTGCTGGAAACAGATTTGGTTTGTTTAGACAAACACCTCCTAGGTGCTCTCCTCTGCTAAATGGATTTGCTGAAACACTTGTACGTAGTCATTGCTGTCCTCCTGGCAATTTTATTTGTTATTTGGGATCATACACAACCAGAAAAGTTGTGAGAACAGAAGGACCTGAAAAAATTCTAAGTATTGGAACTGCTTTCTGCATCCCACTAATGACTGACTTAATCTACTGCCCTTTCTGCAAGAGGAGCTAAATGCCAGAGCAAATATGAGCCATACAGCAGAGAGTTTATTAGAGCTGCCTGCCCCCAGATAGTTTGCAGGGTCCTGAATTATTAGTGTTCCATATCTCTTCTTACATTAGTGACCTGTATTTAAATATTTTTCTGAAGTAGAATGAGCAGCCAAGCACATTTTTTTAATATATCTGTATTTGTTCTTTTAAATTCCAGGTAACTCACTTTCTGCACTGCTGGATGGGAAAGCAAAGCTTACATTTCTAACACGGGGGGAAGATTATATCATCACTATGCCCTATGCCCACTGCAAAGGTGAGTGGTGACTGCTTAAACAGGGAGCAAACAGGCAGAGTAATGTGCTGGTAGCTCACTGACTAGCTCTGCACTGCCTCTCTTCCTCCCTCTCGGGTACCTGGCACCACAGGGACTGGTAATTCCAGGGAGCAGTTACTCCAGACAGGAGTCAGAGCACTCAGCAGCAGACTGGTAATCCTCACTGAAGATTTATCATTTATTGATTGATCTGTGCAGAGCTGAGGCCAGAATTAGGCCCATCTAAGTTCATTTTAACACTCTGTAGAAAAAAAAATAATACTGCCTGTGTGCACTGCAGATGAAGAGAATGTGGAGAATAAGAGCACATTGCTGAGCTTCTGAGGATAAACAATTTCCCTAAGGTTAACTCTGAAATTGGTTAATTTGCTGGCTTGTTGAGAATAAAGGAAGTTCTTGACTTTTCTTCTGATTTCTTTGTTACTCCCCTCGTGTTGCTCCTCGGTGTCTGAGCTGCCTGTGTGAGGCTGCTGCCTGTCCCCACGGGGCTCTGCTGAGCTCAGGGTGCACGGAGGCCAGGGGTGGCTGCTCCTCACTGCTCTCACTTTGTCCTATCCTCAGGAGGCTGAGCCTCAGTGGCATGTCAGCCACAGGGTTAAAATCACTCCTGCAGCACTTTGATCCAGTTTTCATTATGGAATATTTTTTTATTTTAGCTTGTTGGTCTCTAAGTTAATATATGTGGAGGGTCTAGCTACCTGAAATCAGTAACTTCTCTAAATCATGCCTTCTGTGAACTATTCCTGTGCATAAATATTTTTCTTGTCAATTTTTCTTTTTCTGCCAATGACTATTCAGAAAATGGTAAGCCTGTGTAGAACAGGAGTGCCCTGCATGCCTGCTCATCTCCCAGATCCTGCTGAATCCTGCTCCAGCTCCTCCCAGCCCCAGCCACCCTGGCAGAAAGCACTGGGGCTGTTTAAGCACTAGTATAAATAAAGCTGCTGGGCACAACTTTCCTTATTTTTCCTTTCCCACTTTCAGCTTGTCACTGTCAGTACCTGTGAGTCAAACTCTTTCCTGGCCGGTGTAATAGATGGGGGAGTGTGGACACAGGGGGGGTTATTCATTCTTAAAGAGACATTCCATAGAAACTTTGGTTTCTGTCTTTTCAAAACTTTAAGCCAAGTAGCAGATCTCACAGTCTGTCAGCAAGAGATGGTTTGGGGCCTCTCTTAATTCTCTTTTTTTCCCCCTGTCAGGACTTCTGTACGGCACCATGACAATGGAGCTTGGAGGGAAAGTTACCATCGACTGCGAGAAGACTAACCACAGGGCAGAGCTGGAGTTCAAGCTGAAGGTAAGAGCTGCAGGTGAGGTCAGACCCAGCACAGCAGATCCTTTATGCACCAGCAATGCCTGTGTGCACCACGCCTGCCCAGAGAGGAGCCAGCCTCCTCCACTCCGTGGGGCTGCCGTCGGTTTTGCCCAGAGCACCTGGGCTGGGACCCAGGCAGCCTGAGCTTCACACAGGACTTGCCCGCTGGCTACCAGCCACACGCTCTGCTGAGTGTTTGGCAGTGTGTTTAGGAAGTGATTAGGAAGGTATGGTTATTTTGGCTTCCAAACTACTTCAGTGCAAGTTAGGACGTGGATCTTCATGTAGCTCTCCAGTAGCCCTCACCTGCAGGCTCTCAGCGTGTGGGTGTTACAGGGAGCTGCTCCTCCTGCATCTCCAGGCTGCAGGACCTTGCCTGGCCAGGTGAGAGCCCTTTTTCAGGCAGATCATTTCTGTGGCTCACAGTGACAAGCTGCACTGTCATTGCCTTCTACTTATTTGTGTAGCTATTGCCTCCCCTAGAAAACCTGGCAATACAAGCTTGTGGTACACGGATAAAATGGAGACACCTTTGAGCATTCCTGTAGTTATATGTGTTAAAATTTAGAAGGGAAATTAGTGACCTGTAACTTTTCTTGGACAGTTAACTTGCATTTTAAGGAGCATCCGTTTCTCTTCTGTTCCAATAAACAGTTTCTTGCCTAGGCATAAAATGAAAGATGGAGAACTGTGAGCCTGTAGGACTTCAGAGCTGCAGCCTCAGCCAGCATAAACGTGAGAGCTTACTGGAGTTAGGGCAGTCTTCTGCAGGCTGCATTTTTCTGGGGGCAATAATCATTTTCTGCCCTTATTTGGAGAACTGTTGCCCTGTGTACTTCTTGACATTTGCATATACTTGTCTTTAAAGGCTGTTCTTCCCTTAGGCCTGATGCTCTGCATGGAGGCCAACAGAGTTTTTCCCTGACTTTGATCAGTGTCATCTCAAACCTACAAACACTTCAGAGCTTAAAATACAGACCCTTCTTTTCTGGCTTGAAAACAATATGCTTAGTCCAAATATGACTCAGAAAGGTCCCCGTGGCTTAATTACATGCTCTGCTTTGAGTATTTCTTAGCCACCTTTTCTCAGCAGAATTGTGAGAAGTTAAACTCCATACCTTTGTTACCCATTTGGATGTGTACCAGTCCTCTGCTGGATTGCATATGATGTTGATTCTTGAGATACTTGTGATTTCTTTTTCCATGATGTTGTGGGAAATTTGGGTTTATATTGCTGTTAAATAAAAAAAAAGTTCCTCTGCACAAATTTTATTTGGAAAGTAGCTGCTAAAATGTCTAAAGAAATGTTGTGTGGCAAGAATGGAAGAGCTGGTCACTCTATCACTGCTGTTTCCTGTGTTTGGCAGGCAGGAGGTGAGGGGAATTTCCCATTGTTCTGAGAATCTTTTCCTTGACTCTGGAAATACCCTTTTTCTTTTTTTTTTTTTTTTCTTTGGTGCTGACAAAAGCTTCTTCTCACTGGAGGCTTCAGGCAGATGCAGGCATCAGCAGTGCCACGCTGCTGTTGCTGTCTCATACACAGGAACTGCACCAACTTCCTTAGCACTGCTCCTTTTTCCTTGGACAAGGCTGTGAGGATAAGGGTGCAAACCACACTGTGGTCCTGGACAAGGGAGGGACTTGCCCACAGACACTTATCCTGAATTCTAGCTGCTGAATGCTAATGCACCTGAAGGCTTAGCTCCCCTCCTGCAGCTGCTGTTGTGATCTTGGTATTGCAAACAAAAGGAGGGGGGCACAGAGCTGCACGACCAGAATCTGTGTTAGAATTCACTCTGCCTTTCCCCAGCAACAGCAGAAATGCAGCAGGTTGCACCTCCCTCCTGCTGCATCACTGAGTTTGGCTCCCTTCCAGCTCGCACTGGACTGATGATATTTTCTATTTCTGTTCTCCCCTGGCAGCCCTTCTTCGGTGGCAGTGCAAGCATTAATCAAATCTCTGGGAAGATTAAATCAGGAGAAGAGGTGCTAGCCAGTCTCAGCGGACACTGGGTAACGCACACGAGCGAAGCCGCGGGGGTTTCGGGGTGTGGTGGCAGGGGGGCTGCTCAGGGCCCCTGTCCTGCCTCTTCCCACCACCCCGGGGGGCTGGGTGAGCAGAGCTGTCCAGCCCCACCTCTCAAGGTCTCTGATGCTTCCCCAGTCCCACTCACCTGCAGTGTGAGGAACACTTGTACCCCCAGAGCTCGGCCCAGCGCTGGGAGCAGCGAGGAGGGTTTCCATCCAAGCTCAGGCTCCCAGGCTTAGGGCAGGCACTGGTGGCAGGAGACACAGTGTGCCTTCCCTGGGGCTGGGAGAGTCATGAGGCTTCAGGATGAACACACCGTGCTTGGGTTTGGGCCCCTCAATGGAAGAAAAACAATGAGGTTCTGGAGCGTGTCCAAGGAAGGGCAGTGAAGGTGGTGAAGGGTCTGGAGCCCAAGTCTTATGAGGAGTGGCTGAGGGACCTGGCGGTGTTCAGCCTGGAGTAAAGGAGACTCAGGGGAGACCTTCTTGCTCCCAACAACTTCCTGAAGGAGGTTGGAGCCAGGTGAGGGTCAGTCTCTTCTCTGAAGCTGCCCAGGTCCAGGCAGCTGGACGGCACCAGTGCTCCTGCTGTTCAGCAGCTGTGGGTGTCTGATTCTCTCCACTGCTGTTGGCTCTCTGCTCTGCAGGCTCCCCGCTCTGGCTCCCTGGCTTTGCTGCCTCTGTGAGCAAGGCTGGGAGGCAGCTCAGCTAGGCAGGCACACAGCAATATTGTCTAGCCAGCCTCGGATCAGAGGAGTGCTGCTGAATGGGTGCTTGCCAAGTAAACTGGCAAAGGAAAGGGATGAAAGACTCCTGGCATTCTGAAGTGCTAAATGAAATTCAGGAGCAATAATAGAAAAACCTGGCTAAACTGAAAGAAAAAAATGTGAAAGAGTATCTCAGCTTTAGCTCCTCTTTCTAAAGAAGGTGGTGTTTCAGTAGGGTCTGCATGAGATTCCAGCCTTGAGGAATAGGAGAAAGGCTGGAAAAGGAGCTAAGGGTCTTGTTTATAGGTGCTGGGTGGTACCTGGAGGGAAGAGTGGGGAAAAAAGAGCATCTCAGGGCTTCTGAGTACCCCTGTCTGGAGACAAGACTAACAGAAAGAATCGGGTCACTTTCTAGTTCTTCTCTGATTAATTCAGCCAGTGTTTCTGGGAAGGCCTCACCTCATTCATTTTAGAAACTTCCTGGAAGTGTTCAGTGAGATTTTAATGGGATGGAGAAGGAAAGAAACCTTCTAACCAAGCCCTGCTCCTGATCATCATCCAGAAGCAGCTTCCAATTCTCAGGATGATTTTCTGCCTTGTGTTTCTGATGGTCGTTAACCTCTTCACTTAATTTTCCTTCTCAGGATGGAGAAGTGCATATAAATGAGTTGAAAACGGGGAGCACAGAAGTGTTCTGGAACCCCACCAGTGAGGTGCGGAGGCAGAGGCTGAAGCGCCACATCGTGCTCTTCGAGGAGCAGGAGGAATTCGAGTCGGAGAGGTGAGGAGCCCTGGGAACTCCTCACTGCTGCCTCCCCCCGGCACCAAACCTGGGCTCTGGTCTGGTCTGGAGCCTCCAGTTCCTGAGCACAGTCCTGGGGAGGCAGTGACCTGCTGTACCTGCACGTAGTACCCAGACATTTACCTGGGTTTTTTCCAGTCTGTTAACTGTGCGGTATTCCCATGATGTATAGCTCAGAATTAAGCAGGGAGCTGAGCCAAGAAATAGTGGAGGCAACATCGTATCTACTAAACTAACAACTCTCTCTGAACTCCAGAGATTGTCAACAGAGTCTCTGTAACTGCTGAAACGTTTTATGGAAGGGCAGGATGTCAATCTGAGGCCAGATGCCTTGTTAAGAAGGGTTGTTTAAACCACAGTGTTTTAAACTAGATGCAGGGATCAGGCCCTGGCATGAGCAGAGCAGTAGTTTGAGTCACATAACAGACATTTATGAGAGAAGGTAATTAAACAGATGTTTAACCCTGCCTTGTAGTCTCAGCTGAGATCTCCAGTGAAGTCGACACCTTTTTTTTTTTTTTTTTTTTTAGGGTAATCTAGATTACCTAAAAATATAGTCCTGGCACACGATGTAGGGAATGGGAGGAGTGATCACCTGATGTAACGAGCATCCCTGAGCCAGCTCTTGAGCAAGAACAGCTGGAGCAACAGCACGTGGGGCTGGTTTCAGAGCAGCCAGTGCTGCCTCCTCACCAGCACAGTTAGCCAGCACCAGCCCACGTCCCTGGACAGTGCAGGCCTCACTGCCTGGCTCTGCTTTGCACCAGCCACTTCCCTGGGGGCATCTGATTGTGGTGTGGCATCACATCACACTAAGAGGATGCTCTTTCTTTTGGGTAAAGAAAGGGATTGCCCTAAAAATATAGTCCTGGCACACGATGTAGGGAATGGGAGGAGTGATCACCTGATGTAACGAGCATCCCTGAGCCAGCTCTTGAGCAAGAACAGCTGGAGCAACAGCACGTGGGGCTGGTTTCAGAGCAGCCAGTGCTGCCTCCTCACCAGCACAGTTAGCCAGCACCAGCCCACCTCCCTGGCCAGCGCAGGCCTTGCTGCCTGCCTCTGCTTTGCACCAGCCACTTCCCTGAGGGCATCTGATTTTGGTGTGGCATCACATCACACTAAGAAGATTCCCTTTCTTTTGGGTAAAGAAAGGGATTGCAGGAAAAGAAAAACACAAAAACTTGAGTTTGTTCTGCAGAGCAGCGGATGCTGTGGGCAGTAAGGTTGGTGTTTGTGAGTTGCAGACACAGCTGCCATTGTCACGGGCCAGCACACTTCTCTCCTCACCTGCTAAAGAAGATTCGTTTAAAGGAGATGAGAAGTGTCAGTCTCACAATCCAAGAACTTCCCTTTCTCTCTTTACTAGGGTGCTGGCTGAGCTGGCTCTCCTGTCAGAGATTAGTAATGATACACGCATCCAGGGGAAGGAGGCCAAAGTCAAAGTTCTAGAGATCCCTAACAGATATTCCACCAAGCTCCTCCTTACGCTGACAGCTGCATGAGGAAATGATCATGGAATCCAGGTTCCACGCTGCCTGAACTGCTCAGTCTTTCCTGCAGTGCAGAAAATCACCTATTTCCACAAACGCTGGCGGGCCTCTGAAGCTCCCACCACGACGTGGCTCACCACGGAGGGTCTTGATGGAGTAATTTGCCCTTGTCAAACGATTTTGTGTGTGTCCCTCTGAGGCTCTTAGAATTAGAGAACACAGTCTTTACACCACCGAGTTCCTTAGAACTGACTCTTTACACCACTGCAGTGTTTTCTCAGGCCATTATTTTCACTCCTCCCTCCGCCGTCTCCATCGCTTGGAGTTTGAATTGAATTTCCTTCCTTTGTTTCTGGGAGAGAAGATTTATACACAGGAAAATGAGCGACATGTCAAAAAGGACAGGAAAGTGTTCCTCTGCCTTCGGCTAATTAGCTAAGAGGCTGCTTTTTTTGGAACTTTGTGTGTTAATGTACAGTGGTAGAAATATAATGAATGCATCAGTGCCTCTTTTAAATTAAAAGCTTCGCAGGAAGCTCCAAATTAAGTGTAGTAATGTGTTCATCTTCTAAATGGAGGACTGGTGTTTTGTGGAGCTGGGAATACTGGAAGAGCCTGGATCTCCAGGGCCTGTTCTAAGCACTAAACCACTCAGTAGTGTTTTGGGAGGGCTAGCTGCTAATCTCAGAAGTACTTCCAGTCTGAAATGAAGATTAGAGTGCTTGGAATAGAGGAACTGTGGAGGGGCCTGCCACAGCTTGGCTATAGTAAAAAAAAAAAAGGTAGTATTTTTTTCTCTTCTAAAGGCAAATCCTCTCCTCCAGGCAGGGGCTCAGTGAGATATGACAGATCTTTTGGCAGCTGAAAACAAGCATGAGTGAAAGTCAGTGTCTGTGCTTGCAGGTTGTGAGCACAAGTACCTGCCCATTGGGTGCAGATTGAATCAGCCTCCTCAGGCCTGGTTGCTAATCCTGTATGGAAGCACAAGGCTGCGTGTGCAGCTGCCAGCCCTGCCAGTGAATTTGTTCTCCAGTGTTTCTAGGCGTTGAAGATAAAGCCTTTGCTTCAGGGACAGACATTAACACAAAGGCTCCTGAACAGAAATGATTGGAAGGGTGAGGAAGATGTAACACATTCTCCACTGCACATCAGTCACCTCTAGAGAGGCCGCTGACCTCAAGGAACTGAGCGTAACCACCATATAGCTCACTGAAGATTTTAATGAATATCGTGGGTGGTGTTGTCCAAGGGAGGGTTCCCTCTTGTCCAGCAGATCATTGTGAACAATGTTCAGCACTGCCATTCTCCTTCGTTCCTTTAATTCACGACCAGAAGAGCCTGAGCAGTCCTGTTACGTTTCCCCTGGAGTATCAGTGCGGCAGGAAAGCGCCTGCTCTAAGGTCCCAGCTGGTGAGAAGCGCTGTTGGTTTAGAGGTGGTTTGAACTGCCCTGTTTATTTCCAGGCTTTGGCAGCACGTTACCAGTGCAATAAACAAAGGGGATCAGCACAAGGCGACGCAGGAGAAGTCGGTGCTGGAGGAGGAGCAGCGGAGCGCCGCCCGGGAGCGGAGGGAGAACGGCACCGAGTGGAGGCCGCGGCTCTTCCGGCAGGACGCGGCGAGCGACGCGTGGCACTACAGACACGAGGAGTGAGTGGGGCAGGGGCACTCCTGTTCCTGAGGGGGCTGGGGGTGGCTGGG